TGTGTGGCTTTTAACACAGCCCTGTGGGTTTCTGAGCTCCCACACACAGACAATTGGGCTGCTTCCTCTGAATCCTTCTACTGTTGAATTGTCAGTTTATTATCCCTGGGACCCAGAGCAAGGAAGTCTCCTAGAACAAAGGACAGTCACTTAGTTCCCTTTCCAGTTGGCTCTGTGTCAAGAAAATAACACCACTGGAAAATGATTCAGCCCTGCAGCCAGATTGGCAAAAGCAAAATCCCTGTTTCCAAAGAGCTCACAGTCCTTTTAAAGAAACCATCGTTCCTTCAGGAAAACAGACAGGAAGCATCAAACACAGGAATTCTTTGTCATCTGTGCTCTCCCCACAGCCACCTGTAAGGTCGTGTGTGTGTGTGTGTGTGTGTGTGTGTGTGTGTGTTTGTGTGAGTGTATTTTCTATTTTATTTTACTTTTGTACTGATAATGGGGCTTAAACTCAGGGCCTTGTGCTCTTGCTTGGATTTTTTTTTTCTTTTTGCCTAAGGCTAACATTTTCTAGTTACTGAAGTCACACCTCCACTTGGAACCGAGATCATCAACTATCAGCCTCTTGAGTAGCTAGGATTATAGCTATGAGCACCCAATTTTTTATGACTTTAAATGTACACAAGATGTACAAAAGTAGAAGTGTAATATTCATTCTCTTTATAACTTGCTTTTTTTGTACCTACCAAAAGTTCTATGTGATTAAATATTCCTACCATTGTTTTTATTACCTGTGGATGGTTTAGAGCTGTGTATGACTATACCTGTATATGATCACAGCTATGTATCTTTACAGCTTTACTGACATACAAGGGATTCACAATATAATAATTTGAAGGATATAGACACTGTAATTAGCCCTTACCTTATTATAGGACATTTTATATTGTTATTTTTTGAAAGATTTTCTAATCTGCTTTTTCAGTACTATAACTATCTTTTTTGTTGTTGTTTTTAGTCATGGGGCTTGGGCACTGTCCCTGAACTTCTTTTGCTCAAGGCTAATACTCTACCACTTAAGCCACATTACCACTTCCAGCCTTTTCTGTGTATGTGGTACTGAGGAATTGAGCCCAGGGCTTCATGAATGCTAGGCAAGCACTCTACCACTGAGCCACATTCCCAGCCCTCTAATCTGCTTTAACTAAAAGCTAGTGACTAGTAGAATTATTTTGAAAAATGGATTGCGTACTCAGAAGGATATACATTTTAAAACTTAAAAAACAAACCAAAAAACATTACGCTAGGCAGGTGCGAGTGGCACATGCCTGTAATCTTAGTAACTCAGGAGGCTGGGATCTGAGGATCATAGTTCAAAGCCAGCCTGGGCAGGAAAGTTGTAAGACTCATCTCCAGTTTACCATCAAAAAGTTGGAAGCGGAGCTGAGACTCAAGTGGTAGAAAACTAGCCCTGGGCACAAAAGCTCAGGGATGGTACAGGCCCTGAGTTCAAGTCCTAGGACACACACACACACACACACACACACACACACACATCACATCCACAGACATATAAAGAATACAAGACAGTATATATTAATGCTTATTTCTATTGATATTGATTTTTAAAAAGAGTCTCAGATTAAACTTTTATTATTCCAGTTGTCTTTCACACCAGGTATGTATGAAAACTACCTTCATTCCCATGCATTGAACTTTGGTGTGCCCTCAAGTGTCTTGGCCCTTACCTTTGAGAATGGGATTGGAGCCAAGTGTATATTCTTTGAGTACCAAATTTTATCTCTGACCTTGAATTAGGCCTGGCACAGGCAGGAGGGATGGGGGTGGGGGGGATGGAGAGGGGGAGAGAACCTCAAGATGTGTGTGACAGTAGGCTTGGCTTTGGTTGGCACATTTTTGCAAGCCACTGTCAGTTTTCATGGAAATCACTGTTTCTCAGAGGATGCATCTGTTCTGGGAGGTCCAGGATGGGTTAAGTGGCTCTGTCTACTATTTAGCAGCAAAGCCTGACTCACCAGGCAGGTGTTGCATTTCTTAAAGAGGCTATGACCAGCGCCAGCAAACCCCAGACTGAGCCAGAAGATGCTTCTGTGGTCCTGTGTTCTGCCCTAGCTGTGAGGTTGCAGCATCTTTCTAGCTCCCTCTGCTGGGGTGCTAGTTTGCTAGGGGTAAAGCATGGGGTAGTCCTGATTGGAGTTGCCCCTCTCTGCCTCTCTGGGGCCCAGCCAGGAATTTCCATCACAAAGGCCCAAGAGGCCGGCCTAGGCAGGCTTTGTGGAAGTCCCCAGAAAATCCCTTTATAGGGCAACCCCTCCCTGGCTAACCTTTGCTGTTGAAAGAGGAACAGTGACATTCATTCCTCAGGCTGGAGCAAGAGATTTTTGACCTCTGGGAAACCTTAGCCTTTCTACCAGCTGCAGATTTTCTGCTCACATTTCTTTGTTTTCTTAAAAACATAAACTGTACTTGGAAAGAGACAGAGGGAGGGAGAGGGAACACATGCCACAACAGAACTTTTTCTGAAGTCACAGCAAGCATGTAGCTTTTGGGAATGTGGGAAAACATGTTATTGGGGGAGGGGGAGAGGTGAAAATCCCGGAGTGATTCTTGGTGTCTAAAACAAAGAATTGAATGACACATGTTGCATGGACATGCCCACATGTGTGCAGTGCACACAAACACACATAAGTAAAAGTTGCAGAGCAAGGAAGAATGTAATACAGAAAACACAGCATTGAGGGAAATAGCAAGCAGGCTTGTATTCTGTGCTCCTTTAAGAGGAAACATGTGCTTAGCTTTCCAGGATTTGGAGAGTGTCCGGGAATTCTCTGTATGTACAGTGGGCTGATCTTAGGGAAATGAGCAACAGTGACTCACCACACTGGTCAATGGGATCTGCACATGCACACAGCTGTCATCCCGTAGTTTTAAGCACATGTCTAAGATGCAGGGCATGTGCAAGAAGCCCTGCATAGGAGTTTGTTGGGCAAAGGTCAGGCTAAGGATGCACAAGGATCTGCTGTGCAGGTGGCTTCATCTTGGTTGGAACTGGCCGAAGGTTTCCCTACCACTAGGGAAAAATCCCAGCTATCAACTGAGCACTAATCACCCTCAAGATTAAACTGCCATAGTAGGGGCTTGGAAAGAGGTAGGAGTGGGGCATGACTAGAGAGGGTGTTGGCTTCAGCGTTCTTTCCCTAGGCTTGCCTGCCCACAGTCAGGTGGTTTGCTCTCTGCACTGGTCTCCAGAGGACATGAACACATAGAACCCCATGCATGCTCTGGTCTCAATCCAGAGCATATCTTTGCAATCCTGGCTTGATATCATGTGTGGGAACGGAAGTTTCAAACCTAAGGAAAATTCACAGGAACAGAGTGGGGAACCGCAAGGTGTCTTTCACCTGCAGATTCCACTCAAGTTTTCACTCACAGGCTGGTGTTCTACCACTTGAGGCATGCCTCTAGTCCCCACTCAAGTTGTACAAGTTGTCCTGGGTGCATCTTATGGTCTAACTCCCCCCAATAGTTCAGTCTCCCAGTCTGAAACGCTTTCATAGTTGTTCTTTCTTGGATGACTTGGACATTTTTTTAAGACTCTCTAAGTTAGCAGTTTAGTAGATTGTCTGTCTGTCTGTCTGTCTGTCTGTCTGTCTGTCTGTCTATTTGGTGACAATTGTGGGGTTTGAACTCAGGGCCTGGATGCTATCCTTGAACTTTATTTAATTTTTTGTTCAAGGCTAGCTCTTTTCCACTTTAGCCACAGTGCCATTTCTGAGTGGCTTTGGCCCATATTCCTCATATCTCAGCCTCCTGAGTATCTAGGATTACAGGCATGAGCCATTGGTGCCGGGCAAGTAGACCATCTTTCAACTGGGTTTATTAAAAGATAATTTGTTAAAGATTATTTCCAGAGAAAATACAGATACACATATGAACAGGTGATAAAAGAATTTAGCTATTTGAAATGAGAGAACTAGGCAGAAGTTATAATCGTTTCAAGAAAAAAATCAAAAGACTACAAGTTATATATGGAGGAAAGAAGATGGAGGTGAATTGCAATTGGAGGCCAAACTGGTTTTCTATCATCAGGCAGAAGCCAATTAAATCACTTTCAGAGGGGATGGATGGAGCCAGGGATTGATTGATTCCTTCCTTCCTTCCTTCCTTCTTTCCTTCTTTCCTTTCCTTCCTTTCCTTTTTTCCATTGCCTATCCATCATTTATTTGCCCATCCATCTGTTCATCCATCCACCATCCATTCTTTTATTTCCCTCCCTCCCTCCCTTCCTCTCTGACTTCCTTCCTTCCTCCCTTCCTCCCTTCCTCCCTTCCTCCCTTCCTCCCATCTTCTGCCTGCTTGCCTGCCTACCTGCCTGCCATCTACCTACCTATACATTGTAAAACAGCTCAAAGACAGTGGGACTAGAATCTGATGACCCAGGAGGGTATGTTACAGATACTGCAGTTTTGCCATTGAAACATACACATCTTCCTACTGGTTTGTATCATTTTCTCATAACTGGACCCATATTATATCTTTGGCTAGACTTTCACTAGTACCTGTGGGTTCAGATTATTTCTCTTCCACTATGTCCTATTTGTGGCACATAAGTACAACAGGTATTTTAGCAAACTGCAGGGCCTTCTCTTACAAGACCAAGACAGTCAGCTGGCATATTACAAGAGAAAGCTACTCAGTCATTGTTTTAAGTCCTGTTCCTTTGGACTTCTTATTACCCATGGGGGTTTCTCCTCATCAACCATGAACCCATATTGGTTCAAATAGAGCTACTTGTAAGTAAATGTGATGGCTGGTGTAAGTAATTAGTTTGTTCCTTGTGTTTTTGTTGCTTCCTATCATGATTTAATGTCCATTTATCCCTTTGAATGATGTATTGAAATGCACTGAGTGGCTGAGGAGCAGTTTGGCCCTCCTGGTTCTAATCCTGAGTTTTCTTCCAGATACATTGTTTGTATGAATTGACTATCACTGCTTTTAAACATGTTCCTCATGGTTGTTTTTAAATTTTACAGCCAATACCAGAAATTGCAGAAGATTATGAAGCCTTGGTAAGAATCTATGATTAAATTATGTTATAATCTTAATACTTCCTTTTTTCCTGTCTGCATAATTAAAACCTGTCCTCTGGCTTACTTTATAACTATGCATCTACATATTTTGAGTAAGTTACTTTTTTCCTTTTTGTTCGATGTTTTTAAAACAGTTTTTTTTTTTTAATGAATCTACTTCCTTGTTTGTTTGTTTTTTTTCCCTTGTGGCAGAGAGTATTTATTGTTGGTTACCACTAAATGATTACACAGGCCTTCCTCCCTCTTCCCTTCCCCTATAGCACTTCTGGGTAGAGTTTTGTATATGACTTTAAGCCGAGCTTTCTTCTTTTGTGGCTTATGTGATGTTCAGAGTTTGAAGGCTTTGGTTTTTATCAGTGACTCAGAAAGAAGGAAAAGCACTACATCTAAAAAGTATTTGAGACTGATGCATAGATTGAAAAATATTTGTTCTAGATCACTTGTGTGCTGATTCCACTCCTGATAATTCTCCTCTTCCATCTGCTCTTCCTCCTTCTTTTGTGTTGCTACTTGAGTTTGAACTTAGGACCTTATGCTGTTGCTTAGCTTCCTTGCTCATAGCTAGTACTTCACCGCTTGAGGCACACCTTCATTTCTAGCTTTTTATTTGTTAATTGGGGATAAAAGTCTCATAGATTTGTCTGCCAGGGCTGGCTTTGAACCGTGATCCTCATATCTCAGCTTAGTGAGTAGCTAGGATTACAGGCATGAGCCTGTAGGATAGCTATAAAAGTTGCCTTTCCTTTCTTTTCTCCAGTCTGTATTGGGTACATCATTCCATGGAAACATTGGGATGCACTCTGCTCTGAAAAAGTTGGCAGCATAAATTTAGATGCTTGTTTTGAGACTGGCTGGATTTTTCTGGAAGGAAGATGATCCCTAGTAAGTTGAGAAACATTTCATTGAGTCATTGCAGCACACATGGTGTGCGGCTGGCTGTGACAGAGACGGTGGCCCGGTATGTAGTTTGCAGACGCTTCCCTTTGTGGCAGTCACTACTGTAAAAGTCTTTAGCCTAGCACATAATAAAAACAAATAAACCCAGGAAATAAAAATGTTCCAGAATGTGCCAAGCGCTTGCTTTTCTTTTATAGTGCTTTCCAAGCATGGTGTCCTATACAGATGGAGTGTGGAGGTCGGAAGCTGGCTTCTGCCTTCTCTCCTGGGAGTCTGAATCTCTCCTCTCTGGAAGTGGAGATGAATACCCCGATGTGAGGGTTCCAGGACAGCTCTTCCAGCCACCTTATTTGAAAAAGGGCCTTTCTTTTGAAATGTAACCATATTTGAACATGCCATCTTTTTCTTGTTGCTGACGGCTTGAAGTTGAAGTCTGAAGAGCTCTTCCTCAGGAAAAACATAACTTATTCCAGGGAAATAGATGTTTAATATAGAGAACTACATACAGTGTATTATATAATGTTCTATCACACATATGTGTATTATGCATTTTGTTATGTAGTATATGAACATTTTACATATTTTTATATTGAATGTATTTTGTGTCTTATATGCATATGTATGTAGTTTATAGGAGGTCATATAATTCTAGTTATCATTTATGTATACCTATCATCTACGTATCTATGTAACATCTCTCTTTTATCATCTACAAATCTATTTTCTATCATTTCTATCTTGGATCAATTCTTTCTCTGTCTCTGTCTTCTATCGTCAATATGTCCCGTCTGTCTGTCTATCTCTCACATTACTGAGTGGACCAGGTCACTTCCTGTGACCTCCTCAGTGGGTGAGTGACATGAAATGCCCTTTCTCCCACTTGTTAATCACTCACAGAAATGGACCACTGTAAGTATGGAGAGCCTTACCTGCCATCTCTGAAACAGTGTTTCACTTCCTTGATAGCCATCGAGAGGGTATCCTGATCCCTAACACCACTTGGAGATCTGGAAAACACATGAGGTTCTTCCTACTTTCCATCCTACCCCCAAAGGTCCTTAAAGCCTGCCTGGAGAGTCTATAGACAAACTGGATTTCTTTAGGGCAGATTGATTGTCCTCAGATGGGCTCCTTCTGGCCATTTAGATTAGCCTTTCATTGAGCAGGTAGGTAAGAAGTAGAGACATTTGCTTTCAGATAATTAGAGGGAAGACATTTGCTCTTAAAGTAGCTACGGAAGACTAATATCTGGACACAAGTTTATTTGTATTCCCAGGCCAGGTGGCTAACTGGGAATGTCAAGAAGCATTTGAGCCAGGCACAGTAGCTCATGTCTGTAATCGGAGCTACTCAAGAGGATGAAATCGGGAGGATTGTGATTTTTGGGAGCTCCTGTGGTCAAAAAGTTCTCTGTACTCCTTTTTAGCCAATGAAAACCTGGGTATGGTGATGTCATCCAAGGTACAATGGGAAACATGAACAGAAAGTTTGTCATCCAAGCCAGCCTGGGCATAAATGTGAGACCCTGTTTGAAACATGACTATAGCATAAAGGGCTAGGTATGTGGCTCAAATGGTGGAGCGCCAGCTGAATGAGTGCAAAGCCCTGTGCTCAAACCCCAGTGCTGTCAATGAAACAAAACAGAAGACCAGCTTGAGCCCAGTTGTGGGCTCATTCCTTTTCTTCTGTTCTCTCCTGGTTCTCTAACTGCTGTCTTTAACCGCTGACACCAAGGCAAAGATCTTGGTCTGAGTGGAGTCTGTGGCAGGTATGTGAAGAACCTGTAGCATTTCGAATCTTATTATGTCAGATTTGAGCAAATGCCAACTATTCATTATTATGTGATTGTTTTTCTCTTCGTGTGTAAGTTAACAAAGTATTTATTGCTACTAATACATTATTACATAATAATTATTACATAATGTTTTCACAGTACTGTAATACTGACTCCTGCCCAGTTTCTATTCATACATCTTACTAATTGCATTTATCTTATTTTTCCTAAGGCAGTTTCTGTTATTTTTGCACTCTAACACTTGTTCTCTTATAACTCATCCTTTGTAGAGTGAATTATCCTGGAACTTTTATTTAACCTGTCTTGCTACTGTTTTGAGTCGTCATCCACCTTGCTGTCTAGTTATTTGTTCTCTCCGTCATTTTAGTTTCCTGTTGGGAGCTTGTCTTTGAGGCCTGGCCTCTGGTGCCACCTAGGGCCCCTGTGAGATTGGGACTGCCTGTGTGCAGGAAGCCAGAGACATAGGCTGCTTTTCCATCTGGTTTTTCCATCTGGCTTTTCCATGTACTTTTCTCCCTTGTATGTTTTCTCCCTCTCGACTTTTTCCACATTGATGGCAAAACGTTTGAAAACCAGGAGCTTCCTGCATCCACAATGCTACTATTATGCCGCTGTCTCAGGTAATAGGCACATGGCTGTTAACTTAGCACTTGCCACATACTGTTCCTGATCCCAGGACTAGGCTAGCTCATTTTTTTCTCCAGTCTTCTTCTCTCTGAATGAAGATCACTATTGTCCTCACCACCACGATCATCATCCTCATGAATGGGGAGACTGTAGTGTTGGAGAATTCACTTAGAGCTTGATGTGGGGGCCCCTATGTGTGGCTCCAGAGATCACCACATAGCCATGTCTGTCCAGTGTGTATCCTCCCCTCTGGTCTCTGAATCACGGTCCTCCTCTGAGAGTCATCTCCCCTTGGATGGGCTTCTGCCAGTATCACGACCTTTGAAATAGAACAGAATTTCAAAAATCATTTTATTTTGAGACTGGGCTGAGTAGAAGAATAGCAGGAAGGAATACTGTGAAGCTATTTTTTAAAAGAAATATAAACCTAAATCCAAATCTGAATCTGTTAGCAGACTTTGTGATATAGCAATAATGGGATGTCTGATCCTCTAGATTAAAAATTGTAATGACCAGGCTGGGAAGGTGGCTCAGTGGTAGAGCACTTGCCTTGCATGCCTGAGGCCTGGGTTCGATTCTTAGCACCACATAAGCAAAAAGAAAAAAGCCGGAAGTGGCACTGTGGCTCAAGTGGTAGAGTGCTAGCCTTGAGCTGAAGTGCTGAGGGACAGCACCCAGGCCCAGGATTCAGGCCCCACGATCGGACCTCCCCCCCAAAAAAATATTGTAATGTCCAGCTTCATTAAAAAACAAGTAACTGCTGGGCACCAGTGGCTCATGCTTGTAATTCTAGCTACTCAGGAGGCTGAGATCTGAGGATTGCAGTTCAAAGCCAGCCAGGGCAGGAAAGACCATGAGACTCCTATCTCCAATAAACCACTAGAAAATCAGAAGTGGCGCTGTAGCTCAAGTGGTAGAGCGCTCGCCTTGAGCTGAAGAGCTGAGGGACAACGCCCAAGCCCAGAGTTCAAGCCCCATGACCAACAACAACAACAAAAAAAAGTAACTGAGTGTAGGAATCTGTATTATTGTATAATGTAGTATAGAAATCCTATAATTCTATCTGCTGGTAGAGAGTTTCTTGATGGTTTGGAGTTACTATAGATGATGATGATGATGATGATGAAAATTTATGATAAGAGTGAAAATTTCTGAGATGTATAAATGACTAAGAATGTTTTTGAAATTGTAAGAACCTAGGATGAACCTCTGAGGAAAGTATTTTACAAAGATGGCTCTTCTTCCTCCTCAACATCCCCTCCCCTGCCTCCCCACCCTCTGGTCATAGGCAACTTTCCATCACTATAGTCAGTACATGACTAGGTTAACTTACAACCAGAGGTGATTTATTGTGGCTCACATTTTAGAGGTGTTAGCCTATGATGGGCTGGCCCTGTTGCTTTGTGTGAGGCAGCTCATTATGATGGACTGAAAGCCCTTACTCCATGGCCAGAAAGATAAAAAGAGTGATTCTAAGACCTATGCAAGGACGCACCCCCAGTGACCTAAAGATTTCCTACTAGGCCCCACCTCCTACAGTTTCCATTGCCTCTCACCAGAGCTGCACCTTGAACACGCAGGACTTTGTGATTTACACAGACCATAGCATCCCCTAATTGCTCTGAATCTATAAACCACATATCAGACCCCCCTAATGAATGAAGGGATCAGCAAACCCAGTATATGGAATCATAATACAATCATCATAGATAGTCCCTGAAACCCATTAACTCAGGACAGGATGCTGGCCATTGTAACATCAAGGTGAATATGCTTATTTATCATGCTTACGCCATTTTTGTTAAAGTTAAATACAGAGGCTCTGAATCCTTACCTAAGGGCTGTTATGCTAATTGAGTCATTTTGGATTATCCCTCTTGATTCTTCTGGCTTATAAAGGGAGCATTTAGGAACTTTCACTGACTGAGATGCTCCTTACTGAATACTGATATGCTACCAACTTTATTGAGTGTGCTACCTAAAGACTTGCCATTATTTACTTCCTAGCTGAGAGCACAGAGGCTCAGAGAGGGCAAGTGAATTGCTCCGTGTTTCTCAGCTCCCTGGCTGGCGGCAAGCACCTGTCCCTTCCTGTCCTGTTTGTTGCCAGCCTGGCACTTGAGCTGTTGACTCTGCCCAGCTGCTGTCCAGTGGAGTGGGTCTGACTGCCCAGCTGCTTGTCCAGCGGTCTAGGTCTGCTTCCTAAAGCTGGCTCACTTGTGCACTTTCCCCACTGCCCAGCATCGACTCTGTGTTCCCCCCCCCCCTATGTTTTACAGCTTTGGGGACATGCTGTCCTTCACGTTGATGGCCTTTGTAGAGCTCATGGATCATGGCATCGTGTCTTGGGACACGTTTTCGGTGGCGTTCATTAAGAAGGTAAATGCAAACTGCTTTCCTAGGCTCCCATCACTCCCTCCTTTCACGGGTACCATTCTCTGCTTTGAGGATTATTTTATCATTGTTTCCTTGGGTTATGTTAAAAGATAGGGGTGAGTGTGTGCATCGGTGTGTTTTAACTAGGCCTATAAATGTGGGGCTCTGAACATTCTGGGTGAAAGTGACCTTTTGTCCCTGCAGAGAACATAAAATGTTGTGTGGATGAGAACCCAGAGTTAAGGGAAACTGTGTTGTTGCTAAGGACACAGTGTCTTCGGATGCGCTACGCATGGCTTCAGAACTCAAGACCTTGGCCGAGCTGCCATCTTCACTATCCATCCCCAACCCCATGCTCAGCAACAGGGAAAGAGGCAAAGGAAGCTGATGTCCAGCACTCATGGGCTTAATGAGAAACTGAGGAGGCTGAGGGTCTGGTTCAGGTGTCTTAGGTAGGGTCCTTCCTGCTGACTCATGGTCTTGGTGTAAGAAAGATTTCAGGTATTAACCACTTTTTTCCCCCCTCATTTAAGATAAACTTTATTCCTAATGATAACAATTAGCATTTTTCTTGAGTATACATTGACTTCAGAAAGAATGTAAGGCACTTCATGTCTGTGCCAGACTGACAAGTTTTCTTTTTCTTTTTACAGTTTTTTTTATTGTGAAAATACTGTACAAAGGGGTTATAGTTACATGAGCAAGGTAATGAGTACATTTCTTATCCAGCATTGTTGCCGCCTCCTTTGTTTTTCCCCTACCATCCCTTCCCTCCCACCTCCTCAGCGTAAATTGTAGTTTGTTTTTCGACATAGCGTCTTGTACATCTCATTGTTGCAAGGGGTCAATCTGTATCCCTATTTAAACAATTTGTTTTTTCCCCTTCCCTCCCCAAATTATACCAACACCAAATACAGTGAAAACAGAAGTTAGACCGTGGGGGAGGGACATACAAAGCAACAAAAAAAAATCATATGGTACCTTATAAATACGTTAGAAACACTAGCAAGGAAGAAAAAAACCACTTGTGTCCCTATCTTTGGGTTCATTTTGCTTAACATCATCTTTTCTGACCTTTTCTGCTTGTCCCAGACATATACTAGTTATTGCAAATAAGGGAAACCTTGGGACCTATGTTTCTTTGGGGCTGGCTTACTTCTTAATATAATTTTTTCCAAGTCTTTCCCTAACAAATGGGGCGATGTCATTCTTTCTGATGGAGGGATAGAATTCCATTGTGTATATATACCACATTTTCTTGATCCATTCAACTACTGAGGGGCGTTTTTGACTGGCTCTTCTTTCCAAAGGAATCAGGTAGAAGAATGGGCAGAGATGGGAATGTGTCAAGTCAAAAACTTCACTTGAGAGCTGGGTTTCTTCAAATGATGGGAGAGCATGGCAGCTGTTCCATTTTCTAATGAAAATGGTTTGCCTTTACTGAAGTGAAATTTTCAGAAACCCACTTTAATTCTCAGGAAGCAAACTAAATTTAAAAATTGGATATTTTTTTAAAAGCAACTTGTTCCTGTTTCCTCATTTCCTTTGCCTTGCCACTTCCAAAAAAGTCTCTTATATGACTTTGAAAATTAGTCACTAGAAAATTACTTACAGTTTTTGGGTAAGGTTCACTTTTTATTCATTAGCTGGACCGTATTCAGCATCCTGACAGCCCCAGATTTGTGCTGGCCTCTATGTTTTAAATGGAGCTTTATCTTGACAAAAATAATTAGGAAAAGCACTGACAAAAGGTGCTTCTCTCTGTGATCTTGAGTTGGCTTCTGATCAATGCCAAGTTCAGAGTACTTTGGAGAAATATTGTTCTCCTTGCCAGCCCTCTCTCCATGTCTGTTCTCTTTGTTATGTGTGCATTTAGATTTGAGTTTACAAATTGTAGCTGCAAGAACTAACACTATTTCCTAAATGCCATGGAACATGGAAGCCCTTGATGCTACTATATTGTAGCTTTCTTTTGTTTTCTTTTGTTGTTGTTGTTTTCTGTGCCAGTCCTGGGGCCTAAATTCAGAGCCTGGGCTCTGTCCCTAAGGTTTTTTCCCTCAAGGCTAGCATTCTACCACTTGAGCCACAGCTCCACTTCCAGCCAGCCAGCCTGCCTGCCTGCCTGCCTGCCTGCCTGCCTCCCTCCCTCCCTCCCTCCCTCCCTCCCTCCCTCCCTCCCTCCCTCCTTCCCTCCCTATTTACTTTCTTTCTTCCTTCCTTCCTTCCTTCCTTCCTTCCTTCCTTCCTTCCTTCCTTCCTTCCTTCCTTCCTTCCTTCCTTCAATCCTTTCTTTCTTTCTTTCTTTCTCTGTCTTTCTGTCCTCCCTCCCTCCTTCCTTCTTTCCTTCCTTCCTCATCTTTCTTTCTTTCTTTCTTTCTTTCTTTCTTTCTTTCTTTCTTTCTTTCTTTCTTTCTTTCTTTCTTTCTCTCTTTCTTTCTTTCTCTCTTTCTTTCTTTTCCTTCCTTCCTTCCTTCTTCCTTCTTCTTCCTTCCTTCCTTCCTTCTTTTCTTTTTCTTTTTCTTTCTCTGGTAGTTTAGTAGAGATAAGAGTCTCACAGACTTTCCTGCTAGGGCTAGCTCTAAACTATGATCCTCAAATCTCAGCCTCCTGAATAGTTAGGATTGTAAGAGTGAGCAACTGGCACCCTGCTATGGAGTTGCTTTTTAATGACTTGGCTACTTAGAAGAAGGAAGGCCTGAAGAGAAAAGAAAGAAGACTTCCTGTGTTCTGAGTTGATTTTCCTCTAGCCAAGCATGGCCCTAGTACCTTCTCTTGGAAGGGAAGTTTCCTACGTATTCCCCTGAGGCCTTTGTTTTGAGGAGGCTCTGGCTTGCTGGGAAGATCAGATGATTTCACTGCCTAGACAACATTTAGCCTTTGGGCTTCAGTATTTTGTCTTCTAAAACGTGGAGAGATTTATGAACCTCAGCCAGATGATTTAAAATCAACCATGCAGCCCCATGGTTCTCTTCTGCCTTGATAATGTATGAGAATTTTGAGATCTACTTCCTCAGCTTCTGAAAACTTGCCTAAGTAATTCTCTGATTTCGGGATTACTTTGTTTTGCTTGTGGTTGGTGGTACTGGTTTTGAACTCAGGGTCTCACATTTGCTAGGCAGGTGCATTACTACTGGAACCATGTCCCCAGTCCCCTTTTCCCTGTTCATTGTGTTTTAGACAGGGCCTAGCACTTTTTTGTTCTTTCTTTGTCTTGGCAGTGCTAGGGTTTCAACTCAGGACCTCCTATTTTCCAGGCAGGTCGCTCTACCACTTAGCTACTCAACCAGCTAAGGTCTTCCATTTTTGCCCAGGGCTTACCTTGGCTCACAAGGTGAGATCCTGCTACCTATGCAGCCATTGTAGCTGGGATCATATGGGTACATCACCATACACAGCTCTTTTTGGTGAGGTGAACAGTTGAGCAGAGAGGAAACTGAAAAGATGGTGTTTTAGGAACCCAAGGATGCAATGGACTGGAGGGCCCATGTTGTGTGTATGTACCGTTGGAAATATCTCAGGATATTAGAGTACCACACAGGAATCAGGACACCTGCTCAAAAGGAATTCAGCGAGGTTTTTCTTCCACAGAAGGTCATGATGCTGACAGGATGCCAAGTAAGCAAGTGGCGGGATATCTGCGCAGCTGTCTTATCTCTACTGTATGACAATCCTTGTTCATTTGGTCAGAACTTAGTGTCACAATCTTGAATGAATGATTAGTTTGCAAAGGGTTAAAAGTTTATCTGAGCCATCAACTGAGACCAGGACTCCTGACTGAAGCCAGAAGTTGTGAGGAAAACAAGGGAAGTGGCATAGTTAAAATAGCTTCTTGTGAGTTGGTAGCAGCTATTCTTAACATGGTGGTGCTTGTGTCCAGCAATCACTCTACAGAAAAGATTCCAACGACTACATCCACTGAATTTGTGCCCCAAAGAAAAATATCTCAAATGCATTCTCATGTTACTGAGGATATTAAGCACTTAATGAGTATGGATACTTGAAAAAGTGTGGCAGTTAGGAAGGGAAGAGTAAGACTACAATGATACTTTTTCATGCCATTTAATTTTTGGCCTTGTTGGAATAACCAAATGGAGCCATTTAGATACTGAGAATGCTTACTTCGAGTAATTCATAGTCAGTGCTTTTTAATCTGTCCCTGCTTTAAATGAAATACCTGTGGGTCTTGCTCATCTTGGTGTCTCTGGAGGACTTGCTGTGTGGAACCAGGAATGCTTATCACTGAGGGCTGGGAGTTGGTAGTGGGGGCTTGATAAAATTAGCAAGAGGTGCTCACGTGTGAGACCCCTGGACTTTTGTCACATCCAGATTCTATAAACAGAGGCAGGAAGGGAGCGAGCAATGAGGAAGAGCCCTTGGTAGAGAGAAAGTTAAGAAGTTCCGATCAATGAACTTTCTTGTGGGTTTTTCACTTTCCTTATGCCAGAGTCAGGAATTATACTGGAACAAGTTGGGCCCTGGCCGCTCACACTTGTAATGTTAGCTACTCAGGAGATTGAGATCTGAGGATCACAGTTAGAAGAGACTCTTCTCTCCAATTAACCAATAAAAAGCTGAAGTGGAGCTGTACCTCAAATGATAGAGCACCAGCCTTGAGTAAAAAGTGAAGGATAACATCCAGACCTTGAGTTCAAGCTCCAGTAGAGGCATAAAAATTTATTTTTTAAAAAAGAATTACATTGGAACAATGAAAATGAATGGAGGCGGCGGGGGGGGGGGGGGCGGATTCAGGCATTTACACTCTTCTTAGAAAAGATGTAATTTACATTAAAACCCAGGGCAGAGCATGATGGCCATTGGATTTTTGTCAGTAGGCTTCCCTTGGTAGGCCCTGTAGAGAGCTTGTTAAATTGCAGCAGATGTGAGGAGCAGAGCTGACACCTGCCTGGAACAATAAACACATTCGCAGGAGAAGAGCCAAAGCAGTGGTTTAAGGATTGTTAACATCCTCATGCCTTTCCTGCAGTTCCTATAGTAAAATGATTGCCTTTTGGAACATGAAACCAGGCACACTCCTGTTTTTCTTCACCTCATTCTTTCTTACCTACTGAGGTATAAATGAAGTGAGGCAGGTGGGGTGTGGAGATCTGAGGTAGGCTCCTGTTTGGATCTGTTCCCCCATTCTGGCTCCCATATGGAGGGTGTGGACTGCAGACATGGGATGGTAGCTAGAATGGTGTGTGTACACTGGCATTTCACCCCTTTAGGGAAGGAGGGAGTCTGAGGGGAGGGCCTGACCCGACCACAGAAGGGGATAAATTTGTGTTTAAGTGGGACTCAGGGAGTGGTTACTTGTCACAAAATCATTATTTTAGCTTTTAAGAAAGCCATCATGTTGATACAATAATGGCCTTTTTAGTGTGGGTTGTTAACAGATTGTAGTAAATCTTAATGAGATGTTTAAAATAAAACCTTTATGGTAACCATGTGTCTGGGCTGCCTTGCTCCATTATTGTAACCCTTCTCTTATTTTCCTTTCCTATTATATTGTGGTTGGTTGTAGTTAGGGATTCAAGGATTGATTTCCCCTTAGGGAATGCATTTGAGAACTTGAAACTATTACATTTTTTTAGCACTGCTAATTTAAAGAGTTTTCTTTTTGCTACCTGTCGGGGAGATGATAATTTTTTTAACCCTAGAAGGAGAGGTTTTCTTCCCTCTTTTCTTCCTCCTCCTCCTCCTCCTCCTCCTCCTCTTCCTCCTCCTCCTCCTCCTCCTCCTCCTCCTCCTCTTCTTCCCCCTCTTCCTCCACTTCCTCCCCCTCCTCTACTTTCTCATCTTTATAATTTGGAATAGCCAGCTGCTGAAAACTTGCCATTTGAATTGCATTGATGGGTGTGATTTGTATGTGTATCAGAACATAACGAGTTGTGGATGGAATGAATGAAGGAAGGAAGGAGCAGCCTGGGGAGGGGAGAGGAATGGCCGTGCTTTACACTGAATTTATCCCCTCAGAGAAATGCGCCAGTCCATGTAATGTACATGATAAAATTGTCTGCCTTGGAAAGCTGAAACTCAGAACACAATAGTCTGGGGGAAACCAGGCAGAATAATTCTTTGAAGATACCCAGTAAAGAAATGTCTGGGTATCAGTGATTGTAAGAGAGGTTTCTTTGTGTTTGGTAGGATGTCACCAATCTCAGTGGTGACTGGGTGTATTTCTTGCTACTTTGAATTATGCTCCATCCTTAGAATCAGATATCCTCGCTGAGTTCCTGATGTGCTTAATTTTCTTCCTCCTTTCCCTGTTGACTCTATGAGCCATCAATGATGTACTTCTTGGGTTTTCAGATAGCAAGTTTTGTGAACAAGTCGGCCATGGACATCTCAATCCTGCAGTGGTCCTTGGCCATTTTGGAGTCCATGGTGCTCAATAGCCATGACCTCTACCAGAAGGTGGCACAAGAGATCACCATTGGCCAACTCATTCCTCATCTTCAAGGGTAAGCATGCTGCTCTCCTGGGGAGAGGTTGTTATCTCTGGGGAGGGAGCTGTTCTCTTTGGAGAGGGGCTTCCCACAGACAGCCACAGAGATGTCTGCAAATTATTTTGTACTATTCTACTAAATATACAAACAAATATCCCTTTCCTTTTTTTTTTTCGGTTGTATTTACTGTACCACTTGAGCCATACCCAGCCCATTTTTCCTTTATCTGTTTTTGTTTTCAATAAAGTCTTGCATTTTTGCTCAGGCTGATCTTGGACAGTGATCTTCTTTCCTATGGCCTCTTCTTACCTAGCCGGGGTTATAGGTATGACCCACCAAGCCCAGCTTATTTGTTAAGATGTAGGAGTTGATGACTTTTTGTCTGTGTTGGCCACAAACCTTGGTCCTCTTGATCTCTACCTCCTGAGTAGCCAGGATTATAGTATGTCACCACACCTGGCAGCCTTGGTTTATGGTGAGTCATGCACCTCTCTCTCCCCTTACACTGACATGGCAAGGTGGCTTCTTATCCTTGAGGACTGCTTTGTCTGTCCTTGGCATTGCTCTGTCCATGGCCCCTTGCCCTGGGAAAACCTTCGGCTTTTAACCTGTCTTTGTGGCTATCAGTAGAGTTTTTCTTTTTAAGACATAAAGCAATTTGTTTTCCTAAGTTCTTAACCGAGGGTGACCTAACTGTATAATGTTTTCTGTAATATCATGAACACCTTCAGAATTCATTAGAAATTTTATGCTAGACATTTTCAAGCAGTCTTCCCCCCGCCCCGTCTTTTGATAGAACTGAACTAAGGCTTTAGGCTTCTAAACAGTCTACCACTGAGCCACACTGTAACTCTTCACTAGGAATCTTTTATTGTAGTTATTTGAAGGAGTTTCATTTCAACCTGCCAATTTATTTTTTTTATTTTTATTTTTTTGGGTCCGGTCGTGGGGCCTGAACTCTGGGCCTGGGCGCTGTCCCTCAGCTCTTCAGCTCAAGGCTAGCACTCTACCACTTGAGCCACAGTGCCACTTCCGGCTTTTTTCTTTTTGCTTATGTGGTGCTGAGGAATCGAACCCAGGGCCTCTCGCATGCAAGGCAAGTGCTCTACCACTGAGCCACCTTCCCAGCCCTCAACCGGCCATTTATGAGTGTGCAACATCTTGGTTTGTGTCACCTCTTCCATCTCTCCCAGCCCCACTCATCCCCTTAAGTTTTCTGGGTCCATCTTCATAAGTGTACATTGAAAATTGTGACTGTATTTACCTACCCTTCCTCTCTCTACTTAGCTTCCTTGTATTCCTGATATTAAACTGTCGGTTAATTGTTCAGAGGAGTTTCACCCCTGTACATATACTGCTCTCAGCACTGAGTGGTCACTCATAGCAGTTGTGCATCTGTTGTTTCCAACTTAGGGGTGCTGGAAGTCTGCTCTCAGTGCTCACTACAGGTCTACAGAGGATCCTCCCTTTTCTTCTCCCTGTGGGAGGAGCATGTTTCTGTGTAATGATGAGGTTTATTATGGCCTCCCTCTGGGCTGGCTCACCTCATCTGAGTTCTTTTGCCGTTTTAATTTTGCAGAACCGATCAGGAAATTCAAACCTATACCATCACTGTCATCAATGCACTCTTCCTGAAAGCTGCTGACGAGCGCAGGCAGGTGCGCTGCGTTGCTTCCGTTTTTGTGTCCAGAGTTGGGAAGTGTTTGTGCAGAGGATGCCTTCTCCTTCCTCTCTGGGGGTCTTGGAGGGCTGCTTTGTGGCTCTGGCTCCTGCCATGTCACCAAGCAGGGTGTAGGGGAGGGAGGAGGTGGAGACTTGGGTAAGCCATTGACTGAAACGAGTGTTTGGCCCTAAGAACCCTTCCCTAAAATCTCAGAGCACACAAAGATAGGAGCCTGGCTGATGTGATGGCCTCTGAGGTGGAAGCCCCCAGGGTCTTCTGTCATCTAGTCATTCACCAAGGCCAGGGAGGTGTCGTCCCCATTCTTCAGAGGTGTCCTGCCTGCTCAGGAGAACAGTAGATGGGAAAGCGAGAGAACGAGAGGGGGCAGCTGAAGATGATGCTTGCGGTGGAGATCACCATGCTCATGTATGAGAGGTGCTCTTTGCTTGGTCCTAGATCTTCTGACCCTTAGGGTCATGGGTGGGGGAACTGAGCCGTTCATTTGTATCTTTGTGTATAGAGGGGAGGGAGAATCCCTTAAAGGTACACAGAAAAAACCTAACTTTTGGGGTTCTTTGGACTATAAATTCTTTGATTCTTTCTCAAGTAGGGGGAAGGAACAGAATAAAGAGTTTTGGTATGTTTTGGAATTTAGCTTAGTCCTCAAAGGCCATTAATTTTTTTTAAAAATTCTACCTGTATAACATAGAATGTGTTACCCTGACCACAGTTCACTGCCATAGGAGAGTTCACTAGGAAGATCATGGCATCTGCCAGGAAATTTTTCACAAGAGTGTCGAAAGCTAACCTGCTACTCAACGCTGTGCATAGAATCAGACTTTATTTATCCTATTTATCTTATCTTCATGTTTCCAAGGATTTTAATATCAGTTATTAACTGTGAGGGATTCTGATTTGTTTTCCATTTAGGATTGTTGGTTCATTTCTAGGAGTTACATTTCCATGGTTTCATCATTGTTTTGTTTTTGTTTCCCTGCTGGGCCTTTCCAAGCTCTGCCACTTGAGCCATACCTCCACTTCTAGCATTTTGCCAATTATGTAAAGATAAAAGTCAATGGGAGGGGCTGGGAAGGTGGCTCAGTGGTAGAGCGCTTGCCTTGCATGCCTGAGGCCCTGGGTTCGATTCCTCAGCACCACATAAGCAAAAAGAAAAAAACCGGAAGTGGTGCTGTGGCTCAAGTGGTAGAGCGCTAGCCTTGAGCTGAAGAGCTGAGGGATAGCGCCCAGGCTCAGAGTTCAGGCCCCATGACCGGACCCCCCCCCCCCAAAAAAAAAAAGTCAGTGGGATTTTTCTACTCAGGCTGATTTTATATTATGATTCTCATATTTCAGACTTCTAAATAGCTTGGGTTATAGCCGTGAGCACAGGCATTGGGCTGTATTTGTAGTTCCTAAAATTTAATTATATTTTTACTTAAAAGAGTTAGTTTAAAAAAAAGTTAAAAAAAGAAAGACCAAAAGGAAAGAAGTGTGAAAGCTTCTTTCATTACCTTCCCAAAGAGAGACTTGCTACAATTTCATAGTACCCATGTACTTTCCATGGCTATGGGTCATCCTGCTTTGTTCTATGCAAATATTTGCCTAGTTGTGTCTTTTGTTTTGTTTTTGGTCCGAGACCAGGACTCGAACTTGATATCTAATGCTTTTGTTCAATGATGTTCACTTTCTACCAATGGAGCCACTCCCCCAGCCCAGAGCTTTGTTTGTATTTTTAACCAACACTCGGCATACTACATGTACTGTCTTTATAGAAAACTGCTGTTAAGATTAAAACTATGTTGTAGACATCATTCCGTATTGGTGTATCTATCTATATATTTATATGTTTCTGTCATTTCAGTGCTATGAAAATCTCCCCATGGACTCTCATGTTTACTCAAACTATTCCCTAAGACAGATATCTCTCATGTTCACAAAGATACTTCTGTTTTCTCTCTGTTCTAGCTTCTGTTACTTAGGAGAGTACTATCAAATATTCAGTTGTTCCTTAATGAAATATTTATTGTCATCTTCTGTTTGCTGAATATCATGCCTGGAACTTGGGATACAAAGAAGCACATGGAGTCCACTGTGCCCCCAAGAACACACAGTCTTATGCATGTATATGTATATGTATATATTTTTTTTGTAAGTAGATAGTCAATGACTAGTAGCTGTTGGACAGGAAATAGCCTTCTAACTATTGGCGACTATCTTGTGGCTGTCTATGTCTATCTGTAATTATATCTACATTTCTATCATTTCAATGTTATAAAATCATATTAACCTATAGCTGAAATAGGAGCACAAAGCATATTTTTAATTTTCTTTTTTTGGTGACTATTGGGCTGCACTTTTCATTTGCAAAAGGAATACAATGTTTATAAAAAGCAGTATTGGAGATGTATGTATAGAGGTCCTTTCGGTCTTTTGTGTGTTACCTGCTCCAAAAAAAAATCAAACCTAACCAAGCCAGATAATTCCTCACCCAAGAGCTACTGTATTTAGCTGGGGAAGAATCATGTAGTAGAGATGGCCGATGGTGTTTTCTGGGCTTGCCTTCAGCTTGTGTCTCAAGATGTGGTTGCCTTTGCTTTCTTGCTTTTGAGGGCAGGAAGATGACCTGATCATGGATTTCCATTTCTATGTCTTCTGTTCCCATATAACTGTAAAAGGTGTTCACAGGCCTCCCTAGGCAGTGGGTTGGCAGGGCATTGCATCAAAGTTGCCAAGAGCTCTGAATTTCCATCCCTTCTTCTCTCTTGCTTGCTCTCCTTTCTGTGGTGGCATTGGCGCCGTTAGGTTGATGTGGACAACAATGTTGACATCCTTGAGTGTCCTCTGACTGTAAGTCACCCATGTTCCCTCTGTGGACCCTGCTGTCTCAGTCTGCCCTCATCCATCCTGCCTGTACCCCCTGCATCCCCTCAAGTTCCTTTCCTCATGTTCTTCGCTCCCCTGGCTTTCTGTACATTTATTTGCACCTTAGTAGATATCATGGTTCTGTTGTTGTTTTTCATTGTAGCTTAGTTTCTTCTCTATTCAATACAACTAGTAGCACCGAAAAAAAAAAATCCCCAGCACAGATTGGCATTCTAGTGTCTTCCTGCATATGAGCAGTATTTTGACTTTTTCTTAGTGTGTCCCAAGGATGTGGCTTGACTATGAAATTTCTCCCTTATTCCTTCCAAAGAGGGCCTGTGAATCATTTCATTTCATAAAACCATCCTCAAGTACTCTGCTGAGGACAGGAGAGGCTGGAGCACAACTTATATCATGCAGAAGCCAAGGGAGAATTCCACAGCATCACATCTGGCCAGATATTTGTCCATCTGAAACCCCATGTGGTTCATTTGCATAGCTTGGTGATCCAGCTCTGGGGTGTATTCCATTTGCCCTTGGTTCTGCACGCAGGTAGATGAACTTGCTTTTAGGTGAGTTAGGGATTTTAGGGTGATGGTTCTCCAACATCAGGATGTCCTTGCTGTGGGTGTGTGTTGTCTGGTCATCTTCATACAATCTAAGAAAAGCGGGTACAGGGTCCTTCCTCTACCCACTCAACAGCTCAAAGCTCGCTCTTTACCACTTGAACCACACCCCCACTTCTTCTTTTTGCTGGTTAATTGGAGATAATTCCAGTCTCCTGGGGCTGGCTTTGAACCAGATTCTCAGGTCGAAGACATCTGATTGGCTGGCCAGAATTACAGGTATGAGCCACTGGTGCCCAGCCTCTGATGCACTTTTTGAGTGGAAAACCATTAGTTTCTGGAGAGTGATTTTTCTAGAAGGAAAAAAATTCCATACATATATGTATGTATATGTATTCATATATATATATGCCTTTGTACTTAGCTTTTATAATCCAAATGGAATATCCAGCCTTATCATGGAATACTAGTGCCTTCCAAGGCCACAGTTTTCTAAGAAATACTGCTGATATCCAGGCCCTGAAGCACACGGGAAGAATGGCACTTGGTTGTGTGGAAAAGCATGCCTGTCTTTCTAACCAAAGCCTTTGTGTGGGGTGTTTTTCTTCCCCAGGAAATGGCAAATATTTTGGCTCAGAAGCAGCTGCGTTCCATCATTCAAACAGTGAGTACCTAACTGGGGAGGAAGGGCCTGGTGCAACTTTAGTGTCCCTTCTGTGACTGATCTGCACTTTGTTCTCCACTGTTTGGTGAAGGGTAGGGCTAGGAAGGAGGGAAGATGGTGGGCTCTGAGAGTTAGAATCAACATTTCTGTCCCACAGGAAGCGTCCTTCATAGTGGACCTAGAATAGGAGTAAAAATGACATGATTGGGCCTCTGGGCTGGAGCCCGCCTTCCCGTGGTGGTTTTCTACACATACGGTTTAGCTTTGCAAGGAAAGGAATCAGAACTCCACAACTTCTAATACCTAGCACCATGGTGCTGCCCTAGTTTTTCTGAGGGAAAGCAGTTTACTTTTCACGGAGTTGTGAGCTGGAGATTCAAGCACTGAGACAGAGGTAGCTCCCTGTGCCATGATGGTGTTGGCTTCTTGGCAGTGTTCCTGCACTGAGTTTGCTTCTGTAGGGTGGGAACAAGGTTGCTTTAGTTCTTGGAAGTTGGATGCGTGGGTAGGGGACTATGATGGTGGTGACACCATTTGCCCCTCTGTGACCTGGGGGAGCCAGGGCCCGACCCTTTCCTTTAAGAGCCTCCCCATCCTCTGTTTCCTCTTCTGCATACAGTAGGTCTTTTCCTGCCTCTGAGTCATCAGGGAGAGCTCTGAGCTCACATGTATGTTGGCTTTCCTTCTGAAGGATAAGCCACCAGGCTTCATTCCTGGTTGCATCTAGATGCAGACTGCCCAGCCTCCACTTGGGCCTGTTGATGATGTTTAGTTTGTGGTCTTCCCTTTCTTTTTTTGGTAAGTATTTTAACAAAGTATTCCTGCAGCATGTCATCCGTGCCCAGCGGGCCATCAACAACGAGATGGCCCACCAATTATATGTTCTCCCAAGTGCTCACCTTCAACCTCCTGGAAGACAGGATGATGACCAAAATGGACCCCCAGGATCAGGTAGGTGTGCATGTAACAGCAGTAACATGTGACAAACAGAAAGTGCAATGCCACCAGCCATCTTTCTGCTAGCTACTCTGAATCCTGGAGTTTGTGAGGATCCTATAAGTATTGTATTACTTTCTTAGGGCTTGGGGATATGGCTTCTCAATATAGGTGAATACCTATAGATAATAAAGCCAATTGATCATAGCTGGGTGCTGATGGCTAACAATTGCTATCCTAGATAGGAAGCTGAGATCTGAAGGTCCTGGTTCAAAGCTAGCCAGGCAGGAAAATCTGTGAGACTCATACCTTCTATTAACTAGCAAAAACCTGGAAGTGGAATAGCTCGAGTATAGAATGGAAGCCTTGAGTGAAAAAGCAAAGTAAGAGCATGGGGATTTGAGTTTGAGCCCCAGTGCTAGCAATAAATAAAGGCTTCCATTAGGCCCTGAACATGCATGTGGTTTTTTGTTTGGTGAATAAGGGAGTAATTTTAAAGTGGAAGCTCACTGGCACTGAGTATATTCACATTGTTATGAAAACATTACCAGGTATCATCAGGCAAAACTGAATTTCTGGGTCCCCTAAACAATAACTCCATTTGAGCTATCCTGCAACCCCTGGCCAGCTTGCTCCATTTCGCTTCCTGTTGCTGTGGTGTGGCTACACAGAAGTATTCTAGGCAACACTTGTCACCTATTATCTGCCTTATTTCACTCCACCTAGTACCTTTAAGGTTTGTCCTTGTGGTCACAATTTTTGTGTGCTGTCCCTGACGTTTTGTGCTCAAGGCTAGCACCCTATCACTTGAGCCTCAGCTCCACTTCTGGCTTTTTTGGTGGTCAGCTGGAGATAAGAGTCTCATGGACTTTCCTACCTGAGCTGGCTTTGAACTGCTATCCTCAGATCTCAGCCTCGTGAGTAGCTAAGATTACAGACCTGAGCCACCGGCACTATGGAATTCTGTTCCTGCTGTATGTGAATGTCATGTGCTCATCCATTTACTATGGATGGACAAGGAAGGGCACAGGGGTTGGTTCTTCTTTGGGATCTTCCTTTTATTTTGGTTTCCTGTTAGTTTTGATGATGTGTCCTTGATTAGTGGAGTAAAAGATCCATTGCGACTGCAGAACTGCTCACGGGCCTTGTGAGCCTCTTGCTTTGTAGGTAGCAGTGGGCCCTCCCAGACTCTACCTCAGCCTACGCCCCTCACTTCCTCCCTTCCCAATTAGGACCTCATCTAGGCCAGGCCTCTGGAACTGGTTACCAATATTCCACATGAGATGGCAGCTGGGGTCACTGGAGAGATGCCAAGCTTGAGAAGCCGGGGGAGGGGCAAAGGGCAAAGTGTGCTCAGCTCTCATTTAGAACATGGCTTGACTTTTATCTGGTTTTCTTTTACTCTAAAGCATGATTCATTTGGACTCTGGGGGTGAAGAAAAAGAGAATTGATGTCACTTTGCACAATGACAGCAGATTCCTCTCCCTCCCTCAATCTAGGCTCAAAGAGACATCATATTTGAACTTCGAAGAATTGCTTTTGATGCGGAGACTGAACTTAATAATAGCAGCAGCAGCGTGGAGAAACACAAGTCCATGTACACCCGGGATTACAAGAAACTTGGCTTCATTGTAAGTGAGTTCTCTCCTTCCACTCCCCGGGTGACCTCAGCCGCTGCCACAAGCGTGTGGTCCTTGTGTGCTCTGTAAAATCGCTTCCACATTTCCAGATGTTAAATAGCATCACGTGACAGTTTCTTCTGGCTGCAGGGGATGGAATAAGTTGCACAAGTGTGAGTGAGTGCTGCATTTGTTTACTCGGTGGTGATTAAGTGTAGCCAAGAATAATCAGTCTGGAACACATGTGGCTTTCCTCAGACCTGCTCCTTCAGATGGGGCTGAGGGATGGAGACAGTTCTGGATGCGTCTTACGATTTGGTGTGGGACTGAATAAGTTACACGCGTCAAGTCCTGGAATGTATGTAACACATCACAAGATTTGTACAATTTATGTTTTCCTGAGAGCTTTGTCTTGCTGAAGACACCAATATGCTTGTTATCCTTTGGGCATTTTTGTTGTTGTTGATTATTTGTTTTTTTCAGTCTGTGAATCTGAATCTAAAGTGTCCAGAACAGCCTCTTTTTTTCCCCTCAATAACACCACTTTATGCATGTTATAAAAACTTTACAGGAATGTGCCTCTACTTCTTGTCTTCTGTACTTTATAATTTATCAGACTTTTTACTTCATGTATATGTACATAAACTATATACATAAACTATATATGTATATCCTTACATATGTATACATACACAAAGTATAAATTTTATATATAAAGTACAAATTCCGCCCTATAGTTTACTTTAAACCACTGTCTTTTGAAAAGGCTTAAATCATAAGAAAAAGTTCCATGCACTTACACATGTAGTTGGCATGTCTGAGAAGTCTTCCTTTATTTATGTCTGTCTCCATTTCTAACTGTTCTGATTTTCCCTAAATTTCTTATGGTGTGACGTACTCTGTCAGCTTTTGTTTCTGAGAGTTTCTTTATCTTTTCTCTTGAAAGTTAACTAAACTTGAAAGTTACTTTCTCTGCACATAAGATTCTAATTTGAATCCCTGCCTCCCCTCTCCCTCCCCTCCCCTGAAAATGTTGCCCTACTGTCTTCTCACTTGCTTTTGATGAGAAATATGCTGTTCTCCTGTTGCTATTTTCTGCTGCCCTCAGAATCCCTGAGGGGCTTGATTATGATCACTTTTGGTGTCTTTTCCTTTGCCCCCAACCTGACCCACACACATGCTGTGTACTTAGATCTGTGTGTTCATAGTTTTCATCAAGTTTTTGAAATTTTAGCTTTATTCAATTCTTTTGCCTCTCTCTTTGAATAGAATCCTTAACTTTTTTTTTTTTTTTTGTAGCAGTCCTGGGGCTGTGTGCTGTCCTTAAGCTTTTTTTATTTTTTCTGACTCAGTGTTTTGAAACCACCTACTCATCTGCAATTACAGTACTGCACCCATTATTTATGCACACATAACCCTGATCACATTATTAGGATGACTTTATAAAACTCATTTTTATGATAAATATTTTCAAAGCTTTCCATAGGGCTCAGTTGCTTCCAATAAACATCTAGTAATTCCATGGTCAAACTATCTTAAAATCCTCTCCTTAGTACCTCTTTAGTTAAGAATTAAGTTTGCAGTGTTAGTCTCAATGTCCTTCCTAATAAGGGATTTTTTTTTTGACGACATACACAGCTTTTTGGCTTGCCCTACAATGATACTCTGACATCATTTTTGTTCTATCATATCCTGAATTTTGACCTGGGAGTTCCATTTGACTGTTTAGTTGAATTGAAGTTAAAAAATGCTGGTGAATAGGGTCATGACTGACAGGACAGGTGCAGATTTGTGATGATGACCAAGCTGTTCTTGCTCACCTGACAGAGCTCTTTCCCAGACATTCAGCCTGGTGAAGAAGGGACTTCACTCCCCTGCCTTCTAAGTTTACTTTTGTGTCCTGAGCAAGGCATGTCTAAATTCCCTGGAAGTTTGCATAATCCATATTCTTCAAGTCAAATTTCCAGAGAGAGTTCAAGGCTTGTGTATTTCAGAACCACTCCAAAGTGATTTTGCTGCCCTCTTCTGGTGCATGGGTGGCCTTTGGGTTCCTCTGTGCTGCTGTAGGTCCACTGTCCTCCTTCTGCCACTGCTTTGATTTCTCACGAACTATGTCAAAAATGTCTGCCATTTTCAGGGCTGATTGTATTTCTGCTCTAGTCCTTCATGATTGGCAGCAGAGAGCAGAGTCATAGGGAAAGGAGGGTGTGAAGATCGAACAGGCCTAGGCTTGTAAATGGGAAGGGGCTAGGGAGTGGGTAAGGTAGCTCTTTTTATTTCCAGACTTGGTCCTTGTATAAAATCACCAGTTTCTACCATGAGTCAGTGTGGCTCCGTCTATGTCAGATGACTCACTTAGGGTGTTGGGACATCTCTGTCTCTGTTTTCTATGCCAGGAGGGTGCCCTGTCTCATGAGTGCTGAATGAAGAGTGATGTAGGGTTGCATTGGACATCGACTTGGTCTGGTTTTCTGGCCTGTAGAATAATTTGAACCTCTAATGTTGTGGGTGTGGCTCAAGTGGTAATGGTGTGGCTCAGCTAGCAGGGGGCATGGCCTGAGTGGTAGCTTGCAAGCAAAGATGAGGCTCTGAGTTTACAACCAGTACTTCCAGGGGGTGGAGATGGGAGGGGTAGAATTTGTAGGACTAATTCTCTCTTCCCCCCCCCCCACCCCAACACACACTTTCCTGCAACAACTTGTAAAGTTATTTTGGAAAAAAAGTAGAACTCAAACGGACAATAACCAACAGGAGACATAGGGTTTTCTTTTTAAAATTATTATTACTATATATGATACTCTTTCAGTTTAGATAGTTAGTTTAGATATTCATGATGTTCTTTTAGCTTTTAGTTTTAGAACTTCCCCAAGGCCAAGATCTTGCATCAGACAGTTGAGAAACTGGAAGGACTGTTGATTAATGATTTATAGGGCAGCAAGCCAATAACTTTAGAAAGCTGCTTTCACTTTTACACACTCAGCCAGGCAAACTTTCTTAAGTACTAGGAGCAAACTCATGTGCTCATTCTGCTACCTACAGGCCATGTGGCAGAAAACACTGTCAGCTGGCTCAGGGCAGGCCGGGGACACCCTGGAATTGTACGTAGAGTTCTGCCTGATTCTCTGTTCACCAAGCAAGATAACCTTGCCTGTTTCCAATCACTGTCCTGGTTTGAGATTAGAGATTCCTTTTGAGATTTGCATGATGTTGTTTTGCCTCCAAGCAGGCTTGGGAGTCCAGTGGATCTAGATTGAAATTTTAGCTGTCTCCCTTCTGGCCCATGGGCCAGTGGTCTGTCCTCAACCTGTGTGCCCTTCGCTTTCTTCAGCTGTGAAACTGGCAACAACTTTGTGAGTTTAGGATCATTGGAGACCTTGTGAGATTGTGGACTAGTGGCCAGCATAGGGCCTGGGCCTAGGGAGTACTTGGCTGATGGTCCTCACTCCAGGGAGCACTTGGCCAGTGGTCCTCTTCACTCCAGGGGATACTTAGCTGATGGTCCACCTCCAGAGAGCACCTAGCCCATGTTCCTTCTCAACCCAGGGAGCACCTAGTCTACGATCCTTCCTGTTCCAGGGAGTACTTAGCCGATGGTCTTTCTCACTCTGAGGAGCACCTAGTCAATGTTCCTTCTCATTTCGGGGAGTAGTTAGCCGATGGGCCTCCTCACTCTCAGGAGCACTTAGCTCATGCTCCTTTCTGCTTCTTCTCTGGGAGCACACATTAGAAAAGCCACAGGTAGCTTTTGGATTTGCTCAAAGTGGAAGTGAGCATCTCTCCCCAAGGCAGGGGCAGTTCACAAAGGAGATAAACAAATAGATTTGGCTGTGGGAGGGAGGGAAAGATAATGGAGAATGTTAAATTCAGAAGGGTTTGAGATATGCAGTCAGTCCTCATGACTCACGGATTCCTGTACTTGCAAATTCCACTACAAAGAAAAATGTTTGTAATCCCCCAAATGCATAAATTTTAGCTACCTAGACTTCCAGACCCTTGAGTGATCTGTAGGAAATGTCTGCACGGGACCATCAAGTGTAGCATTTGAAGTCAGTTATTAAGCCCAAGGTTCCCTTTCTGGGACTGGGTAGAGGGTTTCAGACATGCAGAGGCTGCTGTGTGGTTCATGCTGGGGAGCGCCTTGCACATGCAGTGAGAGCTTTCTTGTCTTGGGAGCTTGATCTCAGGATTGGCTGCCTCCTCCATGCTTCAACTGATCACACATCCCCCATGCTCATTTGAAATGCTGCAGACCTAGTTCTAAGGAGATCTAGGTACTGTCTGGCTTCATTGACAGATAACACTGACCTGAAATTAAACAGCCACCAGGTGGTGCAAGAGCACAGCCATTAGACCTTGGCCCAGTGCTGGCTGGGTTGCCTGCTCCATTGTAGGCTGTCCTGGGAGCCTGTGGGGTTTGAAATTGAGGGACCCACTCATGGGCCTCAGAGTCTCCTGCATCAGTGTCTATTTGGAATTAGAAGCATTCCAAGATGCAGGGATGAGGGAGGCAGTGGTACCCATTCAGTGGAGTGTGCCTCTTCTTCCCTCTCCTAAATTTCACGCCCAGTGACTTCTCTTGTGCTGTTGTTGGAAGCCTTATAAGCATGGCATAGCCCATCCAGTAGGCTTTCCAGGATGAGCTAGTGCATCGAAGACCTATTTGAACATTAAGTATTGAAAACAACAAAAGTGAAAACATATTTGAGGATTTAAAAGTTTGCATAGTTGAATATATTAGCTCCCACTTGTAATCCCAGCTACTAGGGAGGTTAAAGATGAGAAGATTATGTGTCAAGGCCAGGTTGGAGAAAAAAGATCAGGGAGACCCTATTTCAACGCTAAAAGTTGGCCGTGGTGCCCTGGGCCTCTCATCCCAGCTCCATGAGCGGCACGAGTCGGGGGACTGATATCTGAAGCTTGAGAGTAAAGCAACACCTTGCCTGAAGACTAAATGAAACAAAAAAAGAACCGGAGATATAGCTCACATACTAAGGGGCCTGCCTGGCAAATGT